TGAGAATTTAACTGGACTGAATCAGACGGTGGTGAGTTTTCAGAAACAATCATTGTAAAGGAAGAGCAGAGCAGCAGATGAGGGTGCATTAGCTTTATAAAAGAGAGGATATAGAAATAAAATGCATGTCCCTGGCCTGGTGTCTGTAGTGAAACTGTTTCAAACTGTAAAACATACAGAATTTAAAAATGAGCTTTTCGCCCGAACAGGGACTTGAACCCTGGACCCTCAGATTAAAAGTCTGATGCTCTACCGACTGAGCTATCCGGGCGCTCTATCATATCGTGGTGAGGAATGCGTCTTAAAGAGACCACATCAGGAAACATATTTGTTATGAGTTCGTATGATTTGATGCAGATTATATGGAGGAGTGTTTGAATATAAAACAAAACAGGAAGCACTGTGTTTTAGGCTGTGTGATGATCAGATAATGATCAGATAGTGGAGGCACTTTTATGGCAGTTCATGATATCACAATATTGGTTCAGTAGACTTGACGAACATCTGCTGATATATGTATGTTATAGTCAACGTGGTAATGTTGCTACATGTTCAACAAACGCTCTTTGTATTAAACTAAGACGACGCCGCGTGTCTGGAGTGGAGCTTACACGAAGAAGGAAGTACGTGGAGGTTAACGCTCTTGTCTCTCTTGGGCTAACTAGCATCGGGCTCGTTAGCATCCGCCATGTGAAGCTGGTTTAACCCTTCCTGATTAGGTTAGTGAAGACTGAGGAGATGTGACATCTTGTATTTTTCTACATCTTCATCGCAGTCGTGAAGGGAATTGTGTTTAACATGTCCGTGTTTAGCCTCGCTGCTACGCGCACATGCCGTGGTTTGTCACTAAGAAACATCAGGCCTCCACCGAAGCTAACAAGCTCGACTGAAACAGCAAAGTACGGACGCTCGAACCGGCAGAGCCACATCTCCACTGGGACACGTGTGTTCAGCTCTGCACCCCACAACCCAAAGGTCAGTCCATGCTAGTTTATTCAGCAGTTAAAGGTCCAGTGTGTAGGATTACGGTGAAATATATATAAAATTATCCTCGTGCTGTCGTCATTAGTGTGTAAACAACTTAAACTGTATGAATTGTTGTTTTCTTTAAGCTAGAACGGGCCCTTTATATTTAAATACTTTATATTTACGTAGGAGTGGGTCCTCTCTGTGGAGGCCGCCATGTTTTTTTTGACAGTCAATAACAACTGAAGGCTGCCACAGGTTCTAGTTCATGTTTAGTAGGGGAGGGTGAGGTGAGGGGTATTCAGCTGAATCTTCAAATCAAATTATATTTGTACAGGCTTTAACAAAGTGTGACATCCTCTGTCCTCAACCCTCAACAAGAGTGAGGAAGAACTACCACAAAATAACATATTAACAGAGAATAAAATAGAAAGGGAGAGCCACCTGTGAGGGATCGCTCTCCCAGGACAGACTGAAGTGAAATAGATGCAGCGTGTCACTGAACACATCAGCAAAATAACAGTATTTACAACATTGATAAGAAGAAACAGTTTGTAACATAATGGAAATGTGTGTCAATGTTTAAAGTATTTGTACATAAGAAAATCTCTGATAGAGATGAAGGGAGCAGCAATGAGGAGTTACCTTCAGTAATGGTAGAGTATGTGAGCAGGCATGTGTATGTCAAGCAGTCAACAATCAGCTGCCATCATGATCCATCACCACTAGAGGTCACTACATTCCACACACTAAACCTTTAACGATCTTTTACTGTTGGTCTTGTTACCTGGTTGTTTGTCTCTACTTCAGGTGCCTGAGTTTGCCACGTGGGAACCAGTACCAGAGGACCAACTACCCCCGGTAATGTCCTCATTACTGGGTGATTGTGATGACTTTGAAATTCATGCACATTTAGTTTAAAAGCCCAGGTTTTGCTTGCTGTTATCAGTCATGATCACACAGGTTTGTAATGAAAATGTTACATTTTAATTTCAATATAAGTGATTGGGGACAAAATCTGTCCTCAAGATGTACAAGCATGTATTCAGCAGTTTATCTGTAGCTAACGTGAGAAATGTGCGATACAAACTGTATGGAAGCCCATTTCTGCCACTGTTAAAAAGTCCTGTTAGTTATTATAATGAGAGACTCTCAAAAATATGACTCACCAACTCAAAATAATTACTTAGTAACTCAAAATAGTGTTTAAATGACTCAAAATATTATCTTCGAAACTCAAAATAATGACTTAGTTACTCATGACAATGTCTAAATGAAACTTATTTATAGAAACTCATAAAAATTAAACGTGTTCATAAAATTAATGTGCATGTAATAAAACAGCAGAGATTACCAAAGGTCAGACAGGCTGGGTCATGAGTCAAGGAAGGGTTTGGTGATTAGATATTATTTATTGATTTAAAGCTTCAGTGTGTAGAATTTAGTGATATCTAGAGGTGAAGTTTCATGACGCAGCTGAATACCCCCCATCTCAGCCTCCCCTTCCCAACATGGAAGAGAACCTGTGGTGAACTTCAGTTGTCATGAAAACTCAATCAGTTTTAGTTTGTCCAGTTGGGATGACAATAAAAAACATGGCGGCCTCTACAGAGAGGAAGTAAATATAAAGTATTTAAATATAAAGTATTTAAATATAAAGCGCCCATTCTATGGTAAAAAAACAACAACTCATACAATTTAGATGAGACACACCAGCAAAAACATCACTAAGATTATTTTATATAAAATTTCTGCCAAACATCCCTTTCACTTAAATCTTACACACTGAACCTTTAACGGTTTTATTCAAAGGTTATTTAGAGCTTACATTTTTTGAAGTGATTGTGAATTGTACACATTTCTCACCAACACCTCTTGGATTTTGCAGCCCACACAAATTCCTGCAGACCTCGTGGACAAACTGGAGCGACTGGCCTTGGTTGATTTCCGGACCAAACAGGGTCTGGCCTGTTTGGAGAAAGCCATAAGGTTTGCAGATCAGCTTCATGTGGTTGACACGTCGGGGATTGAGCCCATGGATTCAGTCCTGGAGGACAGGTATGACAGGTCATGTGGGCCCTCTCATTGTTTCATCCAAATTGCATAAGAAATGAGCAACAACCACAGCTCAAATGTAACCTCTTCTGAAGCCCACTGCATAATTGTGTTTATGTTTTATTCATGAAAAATTCAGGGCTTTATACCTGAGGAACGACACAGTGACAGAAGGGGACTGTGCTGAGGAACTTCTTCATCTATCCAAAAGCACAGTGGAAGAATATTTCGTGGCACCTCCAGGTGAGAATAAACCTGAAAACATCAGAGTTGATTCTGTGATTTCTTTTAAATTGTTGAGATTATAATTCAGGTCATTGAAAGATAATTTGTCATGTTTTGCTTGTTATTGGAGGAATTAAGAACTTTTTTTTTCCCACAGGAAATATTCCTTTGCCAAAGCGGGAAGAGAGGTCCTCATTACTGAAACACTCAGAGTTCTGATCTATTTTTCCAGCATTTTATATTGACATTGGTTTTTTTTGCTGAGAAAAGACTGATAACAGCTTTGTCAGATACATAGTACAGTGATTCCAAACATGCCTCAACATGTCAATGACGTTAACAACACAAGGCCTTGTCTCATCTGAGTGATGTTGAGAGAACAGAAACTGAAAACTAACAAGTCAGGAAACAGAAACTGTGTTGATCAGCTGAGTCAGCCTGAGTATAAACTGTGATGAGCTCAAACTACACCCGTTGTCAGCCCAACTACAAACCAATCAGATGACTGGAAAACAAGAGCATAATAGATCCATGACTCAGTCATCATACTACAGGATCCTGACAGAGACAAAGGTTGAAGTCACAAAACAAATAGACATGCCTCTCCCACAGACTGTATATAAGATATCTCTCCGTGTGAGAGGAGGCTGAATAAGCTGCCACAAAGATCTCATGACGTTATCACACTTAGTTAAGTGTTAATTATCAGTTTTTATTGTTATTTCAAAAACTTTATATAGGCGTTCAATATCAAGTATAATTGTGTGGAATTTAAAACACGTTGCTTTAGTTTGATATTTGTATTCTGACTATACGAAGAGAATCGTTACAATTTGAAACTGACAAAAAACAAAGTAGAACTCTGTTAACTGGGCTTTGTGAAGAGTGACATTAA